GAGCCACTCACAGCGCTTGAGACTACAAAGCTTCTAAGCACCGGTCACTGTGATTGGTGGTGTCCAATCGAGCCGTGGTCAATCGGGATCACTCCCTTTAAACACACCAAAATCACCGGTTTATAAACTTAAATTCACTGCTTTCAAAACAAAAATTCAGTGCTTTAAAAATACAAGATTACTGCTTTAAAAACAAAAATTCACTGCTTTAAAAATTCTTTGCATTAGTAGTGAATTTGTGTTTTTAAAGCAATGAATTTGTATTTTTAGAGCAGTGATCTTGTATTTTTAAAGCAGTAAATTTTTGTTTTTAAAGCAGTGCTCTCATTTTTAAATCCAAATTCTGAATTGGAGTACACTAGTGCAAAAACTTATTGCACTATTTCAGAACTAGTTCAGAATTCTTCGAAAAAGAACAGACCTTACGTATGCATAGCGCTGCAGCGAGTCAGAATTCCAAGCAATTTCATAAAGCTGGAAACACAATAGACACAGGCAATAGGTACAGGCAACAGGGAATAACGAGCTGTCCAATCAGAGCTCTGGGATATAATATCGAACTTATACCCCAAAGCTCTGATTGGACGGCTCGTTATTCCCTGTTGCCTGTGCCTATTGCCTGTGTCTATTGTGTTTCCAGCTTAATACTCCTGGAATATCAAAATACTAGAGAGACTACCTATCGTATCTAACGGAATTTCCGTGACCGTAGCGCCTGTATCTATATTCGGTCAAATACATGATATTTTAATATTTAATTAAAAATGTCTGGATGACTCACAAATGTTTTTAATGGTACTTCATAACTCTTCATACGAAATACAAACAATTTAGGGCTGATTGTTCGACATTTTGGTAAATTTTACCTGTTGGGTAAGTAGCAAGATTACCCAATCACATGCGCTGATTACCAGATTTACCTCACAGGTAAAATTTACCAAAAGGTGGAACAACCGGCCCTTAAAATAATAATTTTTACAACCGGAGGTTTTGTCCGGTCAAGTACACTCACCGACTAAAAGGTTGCAACACTCTTTTTTTAATGGGTTTTGGAATGCAGTCTGCTCACCGAACGATTGGTTCTTATTTATGGATCCGTAAGTAAAAACCAATTGCTCGATAATTAGGCTGCATTCCGAAAACCATAGAAAAAAATCTGTTGCAACCTTTTAGTCGGTGAGTGTACATACGAATTAACACGTGACTTATTTTGACGCCGAAAATGAGCGACGAGCGTCGATATGAAAAGGCACCTTTACATATAAGCTGATGACAGCTGATGCATTACATAAGGAAAGTTAAATAGTTGTTAGAAAAAAAAGACAGTATAGTACATACTTATAGTATGCATTATACTGTATTATACTAATATGTACGGGAAGACTCTGATTGCACACATTGCATGTTGCACACATGCGTCGCTAATTGGCCAATTTAAAAATAAAATATTCTCATTGGTAAAGCAGTGAAAAATTACTAGGCACCAGCTGATATGAGTGGTGTGTGCAATCGGGATTGTAGGCAAACGAGATCCTCCCAGTATGGACTATACATACATTATACGTATATAC